GGGCACATTGTTGCCATATTCAGGGCCCTGGCCGTGGTCTCCCGAGATAACAACGATCGTGTCGTTTAAGACCCCAGTTTCAGCCATCCTGGCCATGAATTTGCCGAATTCCAAGTCTGTGAAATAGCGCATTTCGAGGTAATTTTTGATGTTGTGTGCGTACTTTTGACCTCGGTACAAGGCCGAGAAATCCGGTTTCTCAGCTTCCTCGTACCATTTGGGACGCTGCTTGTAGTTGACGTGACTTGATATGGTGTAGTGGTTGAGAAACAGCGGCTTCTTCGCTTCTCCTTTGGCCATACGAGACCTCTGAGCCTTCGTCTTGTTCACCAATAAATCGCCAAGCAGCTGAAACGTCAGATCGTCGTGAACTCCCCAGTCGAGTGCGCGATGCTCGAGTCCTTCCCAGTCACTTGGCTTGATTCCTAGATCACTTTGTGCAAGCTTTTCCATCTTGTCGCGACTCCACACTGTGTCGATCCATGCGCAGGGAGGAAGAAATCCCACGTGTCGTAGTCGGTCACGCACCCGGTGGTGAAGAAAGTCTCGTAATCTTTCGCCTTGAAGAGCTGAGGTAATCCAGATAACGTTGTACCGCGCTGGCCTCCTGTCGTGCCGGACCTGGTCACACTGTCGTATGGTAGCTGCCCAAACATGAGGCTCTCGACGGACCGACTTGTCCTCCAACTGGACCAATAATTCCGAAGTGCGATGCCTCTTTTGGCCCACTTGTCGAAGCTTGGGGTGACCGTAATGTTGCTGCCCTTGAACAAGTTGGACGGGTCTTCATCGCCCACTAGGTAGTGGGAGTCATGGAATCGGAACGACTCGACTGCGATTACTATGACGTTTGGGGGGTCGAGGTCGCTGACACTTACGTTAAAGGCGAGGTCTCCTCGAAATCCCGTCGTACGTCGGTACAGCGTCCGATTGCCATAAAGCGTGCGTTCTTCATTACTGTCGATAAAAGATTCGACCCCGAGACGATCCGCATCGCCAAAAGCTGAGCTGCCGCCCATTGCTGGCTCCAGGACGTGCTGAAGTAGCTCGTTCAGCGTCGTATTTAGAGCTGCATATGCAATGAGAGGTGTCGTTGCTCGACTCAGTGCCACCACAACCATGGACGCTGAAAATAAGAGCATGAGTAACTTTAAACTTCGTGTGCAGAACACGCGGGAAATGCCCCCACTTGGGTTCACTCGACTGCGTGTAGCCACCTTATCACAAGTGCCATTCACCACCTCGCTGTCTTCGTCGATTGCAACGATAGCGTACTGCGAGGAATTGACGTGTTCTTCACTTTTTGTCAGTTTATTGTGCATCGGGACCAATTCGACCTTTTCGTTGGGACTCTCCAAGTCTTGACTCTCAGTCAGACCAGGAGAGCAGGATGTAGCCACTTCTTGCGAATCAATACAGAGCAGAGTTGGATTCCAGTTTGAGAGATCAGCCCATGGAGCCCATGTACGCACGATGGCGAAGAGTGTAGCCACAGCGACCACTGCAGCCACGTTCACATACGCATCGGTCGTCTCTGAGCTCGACACTGCCACCGCTGCGATGTGGTCTTTCTCCTCAATCGCCATCGAGACCAGATCAAACGTGAAGCGTATGTAGCGCAGGCGAACAATGACCGCGTCCGCTACAAAAGGCACCATCATCGCCAAGAAGAGCAGCCACGATACCGTGAACTTCAGCCCTTTCATAGCGAGCCTTGCACTCCTGGAGTGCGGGGTGAAATACGCTTTGGCGAGTGTGTCGTAGAGCCACAGAAAGCAGGCGAAGTACGTCGTACACACGAAGTCTTCCAAAAATCCCAGAGACAAAGCTCCAACCACAACGCCACCTGTAGCATGCTTGGTAGTGCCGTACATCTTGTTCAGCCCATAGAGTGCCGTGCAGCGGTAAAGCAGGAACGCGGTGAGTGCTATAACGTAAAAAAGAATCCAGCCAAGTCTCGAGTAATGACTTTGAACAAGGTGCACGATACTCTGAGTCACCCAATGCGCAGTAGCACGAGCCTTCGCCACGACGACGTTCTTGGCGTCTAGTAGCACATTTTGAGTAGGTACGGGAACCGAGAGTTTGCGCTTTACATCCGAGAGGGGATCGTCGATCATCCTGGCAGCGTGTGAATTGAAGTGCCGCAGTCTCTGCGCTGCAGCGCTCGTGGGTTAAAAGAAAATGATGAACGGGACAACTTGTCTCGTACAACGTATTACGCTTGGAATAGTTTCTCCCGATTCGGGACCCGATCTGACGACGCAAACCATGGCACAGTGGAAACCAAACCTGTATTACATTATCACCATGTAATTTACATCATAATAATGTAAGCTTGAAAAATGCAAAAAAAATTGTAATAAAATTCGAAGGTCTACAGTACAGTACAGCATAACTGATTTTAAGTGTTTTCAAAATTTTAGACAAAATCACGTAAGTTCGCACGAAGACACATAGATACCTCATCGCCCGATATCAACGACGACGCATCAGCGACCATCACTGGCGGGTGAGCTGGTGTACGCCCGGCTTGTCAAACTTTCCGCTTTGAGAAAGAAGCTGGAGCAGATCAGCACAGAACTGAAGACTATCATGCGCCTTGAGCTTTAGGCACCGATTGGGGAGCATGAAAAGCGCTGCTCTCAGCTATCGCTGACTGTACAGTGCTGGTACAGTAGTGGGAATAAAAACGTTTTAATAAAGAACGTGTTTTTACGCCTCTTATATTTTCGAACGTCTTTATTGTCTCTATCAATGTTCGTTTAAGGGTACAGTGTATCTAATTTGCGGCAGCTACCAGAAACCAAGCGTAGCTCAACATCCCAAATAATGGACCCTCTGATGGACGCAGGATCTTCACGTCCTCTCTAAAAGAAGACGTGAAAGATTTTCGAAACTGACCAGTTCTCAATCTTCCAAGGTTCGAATACCCAATTCAAGATACTGGCCAAGTCTCCTGGTACTAAGTTGACGAAGACGACTAGCGTGTATACTCTGGGTTCTCATTATGTTGTTGTTGTTTTATAAGCGCAGTCGTGATGGTTCGGCCAGGGTGTCCTGCTCGAAAGCATTTCGTGCAGTGGGGTAGCAAAAAGGTGAATTCGGCCCACTATCCCTTCAGATGCAAACGATGTCTAGCGATGCATTATTTACGCGAGGCAGCACGCCAACTCGAAAGTCCCCAGACTGATCCAGGCTCTGGATCCTCTTCGTCACCACCTATCACAGGACGGCAGACCAATTTCGACAATCACCTACGTATTGCTCACAAAATTAGCGATCCTGCAAGTGTGCCCGCCCCACCTACACCAACGCCAAATGGCCCTTTTGAAGTACCCCCACCGCGTACCCCACCTCCTCGTCGTTTGTAGCATCCCGCCGCTCCGTCTACTGAAAATCTGTCAGAAAGTGACGTGAGTGGATTGTTCAAGCGGAATTACACTCCAGCCCAGCGACGCCAGTTTGAGCGTTTTTTTATTGAAGTTTCAGGTGGATAATGCGTTACCCGACTCGTTTGTTAAGCGCCCAGCAACCAAACGGCTGTTTTATATTTTAAATTCTGCGTGTTTGGCGTATATACCGTCGTGCCGTGTAATGGGGGGACGAATAATGAACGATTACGTTAGTGAATACGTGGTTACGAAGAGCTCCAATCCTTGCAAATGCCAGCAGGACAATGGGGGACATTTGAATCTGCTAAGTGGCGTTTGGCAAAACATCTCAAAAACTCATCTTCTCGGAGTTCATCTCACGCTTTTTGGACTCGTTCTTGTCGAAGGGCTACACGAAGTAGGCTCTGAGCATCACGCCAGAGCTCTCGCACGCCAAATGGAGACGCTGATCGAAGGTTTACTGAAGAAAGGTTGAAGAATTGGAGCAATAATTACCAATAACGCCGGGCAATGTGTGCTCGCAGAATTTTAGCTGTTCGCTGGCCCTCTATTTACTTTGGTAAGTGTTTCGCTCATGATATCAATAATTTGGTGAACGCCATCCTACGGCGAACCGGATTTCGATCTGTTACTGACCTAGCGTGTGCTGCTGTATACGCAATGAACGGATCATCGTCGAAATGACTAAAACGAGCAAACCCTGTTATGATGGAGTTGTATGAGCTGGTTAAGCCACTGGCGTTTCTTTCTCTCTGCTTTACAAGGTGGAACTCGATGCAAGCATGTTTTGCGTCTCTGCTTCGTGTTAAGACTGGTATAAGGCAATTTGCAGCGAGGTTTCAATTTACCAACGATCTACCAAAAGATGTACTCGTTTTTCTGGACGAAGTGTTCTGGTCCACTTTGGCCGGTGCAGAGCGAGCGATTCAGCCACTATGCAATGCGTCCTACATCTTGCAGCGTGACGAGAATACATTGGTCGACGTAGTGATGAGCTTTCGTGCTACTTTTAACAGCTTCGTTGCTGGACCTCACGCTAATGAGCTGATTCCGCTCGTGGATGAGCGCTGGGCCGATTGCGAGCAGCCTTTAATTCTTTTGGTGGTGTTCTTACATCCGGGATACCTCGAAGTGGCAAGAGCGTTTCCTAACAAAGATGTTTTCTCGATTGACTTGATTTCAAACATTGAAATGTTTTACTTCAAGCGGTTTTTCCCTGGACGTGAGTTTGGAATGCTTCGTTACCATATTGCTCGGTGGTGTGAGAGCACGTTGCACATTGACACTGAGCACTTTCGCTACGATGATTTCCCGTCAGTTGCCGAGTACTGGACGTATGCTAAAGATAAGTTGGCGGGCCCCAGTTTACCAGACCTCGCTCTCGCAGTTATGTCAATTGCCGCCAACACAGCTACATGTGAGCGATATTTCAGCGCTCTCGGTCGTATCCACACATCATTATCCAGGCGATCACGTTCCTTTACTGCTTGACTAGCCATAGCCGCCTTGTTGGTCCTGTCCGCTTTCAAACAATTTCGTGCTCAAGACCGAGGGCTCAGTGGAAGTGTGAACGCAGACGATGGCGACGTTGTTAATGAAGATAGCGAAGGCAACAAATACGCAGGTCGCATAATTAAGTCTGTCGAGCGCCAGGTTCGACGTGATTGCTGGGCCTCACACCACTCGTCAAACTCAACAACAACACGTAGAGCACCGACCCGTCTACCAGCTTCGTTAAACTCATTTACAAGCTTGAACCATCTCTCTCCAGCTGCCTTCCGCCCCTCAGACACACCCGGATTACCACTCGCATTACCAAACTTG